TTCTGTCTGAACACTTCGTGTTCAGTGCCTCGCTCAAGAGGTCCTAAAGTAAGCAAAAGCAGTGGTGCTGTCACTGTGGGAAATTGACCCAACCACCTTTCAGATTCCAGTCAACCTCAAGACCCTGCGAGTGCAGGCAATGTGGTTGAATGTTGACAGGTCAATCAGTCACTGTGCGAGCTAGTTCTGTCTTTCCAGTGTTGAACTCAGGCCTAATATGTCATGTGTGAAAATGTCATTTTCTCAGTATCTGAATTTAGTATTTTTATTACATCAGGCATACTGGAAAGAAACAAAATTGGAAATGCACAGCATTTACAACACATAAATGATGTGATGCAAACTGAGGCTAAAGAGTTTCACATTACCGAGAGCCTCCCTAGGCAGAATCCTAAACCACTCCTGCTTGGTTTCAAAATGTACAGTCAGTCTGCTTACTAAAGCACTGGGTTGCAACTCAGCATTGCTTTCCTTACAGTAGCCTCTGAAAAAAAGGAGCCGTTTTGTTGCTTTCTGTTACACACACACACACACACACACACACACACACACACTGAGTTGTACATCAGCTGGAATTTTTATTGTTACATCCAAGCTGCAAGGGGAAGGACAACAGCTTGTTGTTTTTGGGGCAAACAAGGGTCAGCAGAAAGAACCCTGTTGTTGCATTGTTTCCCGTTGCCACGCGGAGAGATGCAGTTTCTCGCACGGGGCATCTCACTGCGTACATGGAGCGGTGGCCCAGTTTGCGACGGGATCAGGGCATTACTCTTAATCCACCAGATAGATGTCATATGCACGCACGCGCACACAAACACACACTGAGAAACAAAAATGGTGGCGAGAGGGAGAGGCGGAGAGGACGAGGGAGTAAAAAGAGTACATTCACACACGCAAAGCTCAGTGTGGTGCTTGTATTGTTACACCAGCACTTGTGTGCAGAATGCACATATGGTGCAGTGTCATGCAAGGTTTCCAACTATGCACATGGGATACTGTTCCATTTGATTGCATCTTAATACCCTCAGTCCACTAGTGTGTGGTGGAACTTGTGTAGTAAGCATGTGTGTTGATGGTGTTGAAGTTTAATAAAAAGCGATGCCTCTGTCCAGACATAGAGGAGGAAACTAAAATGTGGCCTCTATTTTGTAAAACCCTATTATGGCTAAATGTATTCCATTCATTTGGCACTAAGTTTGAGTGAAGATAAGCACAACTGAAAGCAATTTTTCAGAGTGCATTTAACATTTCAAAACATGTAGGCACGCGACAAGAAACAAAGATGTCAGTGTCCCGGCAGCCTCTGTTTGAGTTCTCAACATTCAAATCTCTGAGTCCCCACTGTTGATATTAAAAGAGGCATTGTACGTCATACACAATGAGATAAAAAGAGAAAAGAACAGCCTTTCCTCCCATTCCCCCCCTCAAGCCCTCTGTCCCTCCTTTCTCACCACATTATATGGATGTGCAGAGAAGAGGCAGCGAGCGAGCAGGAAAAGAGCAATGGAGAAAGTCACAGCGAATGAGACGAGGGCATGGGAAAAAAAGAAAAATATAGACAGAGGAGACAAAGTATGAATCCTTTCCACCCTCTGTGTGTGTCTGTGCTGCTCCGCTAACCGAAGTCTGGGAGCATCATCGTTTTGATGGATGACTGGGCCTTCACTGGCCGACCCTGGAACTTACACAGGGGACAAGAGGGCAGGAGGCTGAAAGGAAAACAAGAGTGGTTTGTGGATATGTGTGCTTTTACTGGGCTCTGTGTGACTGTGTACTTTTAAAACATTGCAAGACTGGAGTGGCTGCCTCAAGCCTGTACTTGTGTGCTTGTGTGTGTGTGTGTGTGTGTGTGTGTGTGTGTGTGTGTGTGTTACAAGGAGGCAATGATATATGTTCAGCATCATACAACCACTAGCTTCGAGCTACGCTGCATTCTCCCTCCAAAAAACACTGTACCAAACATGCTATATTTTTTTTTATCTCGTTTCAAAACATTCTTTTCACCATATTTACTGTAACATATTTACAACTATGGAACAAGCATTTTTAAAACAAGTATGCAAATCTAAATTCTACCAGACACCATTGTTTCTGAGGTCTCAGGCAGGATAGCTCCCAGATGTTTAACAGTCTGTATGGTGAGCTCAAATAACCTCCTCCTCTTTTCTCTTCCATTATTCTCTTTCAGAATATTAGTCCTCCCACACTCCCCTTCTGTCTTCATATCTTTCATCCTTAGTCTCACCCCAAATCAGGAGGTTTCATCACTGCTGCTGTGAGATTCAAGGCCGCATTTGTCAACCTGACAAATTGGGAAAGAAGTCATGCCTGGAGAGCCTGGCCAAGACTTTCTTTACCACAGGTAGACACTCATACTTAGTATGTTTACACGGACACTAGTATCCCAAATATGACCAGATTTTTGGAATATTCATCACTTTGCATAAATGGAAACTTTGTATTTTTAACCTGGTGTCTAAGTTGACTAACTGAGGCAACAATTTTTAACAATGGTCCAGTATTGAGCGAGACCATCGCAGCCACAGCAGCGAAACAGGCTGTAATGCAAACTCTATTGGTATTGGTCAATTTATATCCAGTAAAAGAACTTATTTTTGCTACTGACAGGATCAGATTGTTATTAGAAGTGTCTGACAACATTGTGGAAAGGATTCCTACAGAGAAATCAAACATTTTCCATACCTTTTGCTGGTCTGTTTGTTAGTGTGACCAAGTGTCGCTCAATGAGAACTCTTGGAAAACAAAGGTGGGAACATTAAGAGTTGGAAAGAGGAGTTCTGGGAAGAGTTTGATGTATTGGAGTACAAACTGGTGGAAAAGATTTCCAAATTACATCTATACCGTGTTTAACACTACATACAACACACTTTCTACCAGTTTAGACTCACAGTTTCCGGCACCTTGCCAAGACTATCCCAGGTGGACCGGTGTGTTGAAGTTTTTCAATGTCATGGCTGACTACTTAGTTGATTAGACAATGTGGAAAATTCTGTTTTCCAGACAGAGACAGACAGAGACTTCTCCTTGAGCAAGGCTTGGTTACACATGCCAACAAATAGGGCTGTACCTGCAGATTTGGACATTTAATACGAATATTTGAGGCTTCGCTTTTTTTTTGTATAAAGTTTTAAAGTTTGGATGGGGCTCAGCGCGACATTCAGTGTGACAGTGACATTCAGCTAATGACGCTACCAACGGGTCGGAAATGTGCAACATTTTTTGATGACACTAGATATCAAACAAAAGCCACAAACTGTGCTGTATTAAGCATCTGTGAGCTGTAAATTCACCACTTCCAAACAGAAGAGTGAAGAGACTATTATCTTGGAGCCTTGGGGTGGAAAGTTTCTCCTCCTTTGTGCTACTACATCACGTCAACATCTGTTGGTACCTAAAAGTAGCGTGAACGTCAAGAGCACTCACTCTGCAGCAAAATCTGGGGACCAAAACCTACCCAAAAGAACACTGCCACTGACTAGCAAAAAAAAAAGTTGGCTGACAGGGTTTCTGACTGACGATTCCAATCTCCTACTTTCAAAGGGCAGCTCTAATAATAAACAGACTTGATCAGCAAAAGGTAAGGAAAAGTATTTCATTCCTCCGTAGGGTCTTTTCCATAACATTGTCAGAAAGTCATAATAACAATCTGAGCCTGTTGGTGGCAAAAACAAGCACTTTTAGTGGATGTAAACTGACAATGAGCAATTGCCCATAGGGACTAAATTGCAGCCTGTTTTGCCGCTACAGCCGCTGGACCAGTTTAAAAAATTGCTGTCTCCATTAGTCACTTAGACACAAATACATGAGAAAATAGGGCCCTGGTTCAAAGATAAAATGTACTGATAGTCTACATGCTGAATGTGGAAGCCTGGCACAGATCTAATGTGGGATAAACTGATTTTTGCTTGTTGATGTTTCATTGATAGGTGCTAAGATGGAATGGATGATGTGTCCAGACAGCCAGACACAAAAGAGAAAGAGGTCAGATGATAAGAAAACTGGATCATGTCTCAACTGCGTATACAGGGTGGTGGTTCTACTGCGGTGGCTTTTGCATTTGAGTTGTCTGTTAATGTTCTTGTGCTTTGGATGTCCAGTTTGTTCGAATCATCTTGGTCAGCATATATAAAACGATTAGTCGATTAGTCAATTGACAGAAAATGTAACTATGTTGATTGCTTATTGATTGTTTAACTTGTTAATTCAGATTTTTTGTACAAATGGAAGAAATTCAGGGTTTTCAGCCTCCAAGTTTTCTTAGCTTTCTATGATAACAAACAGAATATCCTTGGGTTTTAGCCTATTGGTTGGACAAAGCAAGCAGGCTCTGGGCTTGTCGGCTCTGGGAAATGGTGATGAACATTTTTCACTTTTTTCTGACATTATATAGACCCAACAAATAATAGAGAAAATACTTGGGGGATTAATCAACAATGAAAATATCAGTAGTAGCAGGCATCATTAAAACTAGTATTCTTATTACCAGACTCATAACCAGAACACTAATGTGTATGTCTCTGAAAAAAAAATATTGCTCTAGCCACAATCAGGGATCACACACATACACACACACGCACACACAGTATGAACACAATCGCACTAGCAGAGGAAAAATTATCTGATTTGCCATATGTGGTCTGTCTATTCATGCCAAGTAATACTGGGATGGACAAAAACAGCTGGCCTCAAATCAAACCTACTCCCCAACACACACTGGTACACTCTCACACACATACAGATAAACACACACAGACACACACACACATACAGTAGGGATGTGATATCAGAAGTGGTCTGTAAATCAGGTCATTCCAACCCTGCGTGTACACGTGAATTCAAAAGATGTATACTGCATGTATGAATGTAACTGTTTCTCTCTATCCATGTGTGCATCTGTGAGTAGGTGTGTGTGAGAATATCAGGCTATATATTTAAATATCTATATATAAGTATTTGTGTCTGAGTGTGAAAGGACTCACAGTCAGCATCAGCGAGGAAGAGGAAGCTGAGGAGGAGCAGGCCTGGACTGGCACAGTGCATCATGGGATATGTCGACACATGCATGCTGTATCCACCGTGAGCTCACTGCCTCACTGCACAACAGGACGATAGAAACAGGCCCTCACAACCTGGAGAGAGAAAAGAAGGGAGGTAAAAAAGAAAATGCAGTCATTAGACTCGTTGCAAAGCTCAAATTAAGAGTTTCAGATATAATATGCGCACACACACACACACACACACCAACACACACAAACACACGCAGACTTGAAGTGTGTGAGTTCCCTCTAGGCCTTACACTCCAGTTATGCAGCTGCCTCTCCTCTTCTCGCTTCATTAGGACCATACACTCACTGCCGGAGGTGTGTTTTGGTGTGTGCGTGTGCGTGTGAGAGAGTTCACAAAGTAGCTGATGAATTTCAACTTATGGCAAACATTTAGCATTGAAACATCAGTCGGCTTCTAAAGTTCTTCTTTTTTTAATCTTCCAAGTAAGCAACGGCCTCATTTTTTGTTTCAGCTTTAGTTTTTGCCCGTTACACAATCTACAAAGCAGACTTCAACACTGGATTTCTTCCAAATGTACATCAAATCGGCACGATTTCGTATTGATGAAAAGGAATGAATGGCTTTGAGATGGAGGGGTGGAAGGATGGAGCGAAGGGACTGATGGATGATGGGGAGATTAAAGTGGGAGGAGACTGACTGGTGTTATCTGCTGGCTGCGTTGCACACAGTGTTGGGTCAACATGCAGCTCAACATGCCTATCCTTTCATCCTTACCTCACTTCCTTTCTTTTAGAATCTGTCTAGTCCTCTTCGCCTTTGATTTCCCTGTCTTTGTCTGCTTTCGCAAACTTTTTGGCAGCTTTCAGTTTCCTAAAAATTCTAGATAATTCTTCTTTAAATCCATGTTTCTGTTCTCTTTGACTCCCCTGTACCTTTCTTCTCATTCATGTCACCTTTCACTTCTCTCCCCGTAGCATCTTTCTTTCTCCTTTCCATCAGTCAGATTTTTTGCCTTTTCACTCTATCTGTCCCTCTGTCTGTCTAGCTGTCTCCCTGCCATCTGCAGCGCCTGGTGTGAGTGTCTGGCATTAGAAGAGACAGGCGTCAGTCTGTGTCAGAAATCTCACAGCTCAAATCACATGCCACAATGAGACATGGCAGATCACTGCTGCTGTCCAGAAAACTGACAGTGTTGAGTGAGAAACGTCGAAAGTGAGTGGAAGCAAAAGAGAGAGATGTTGCTTAGATGTCTGACATGAATGTTTGCATGAATGAACGTTCAGGCCTGTGCCATACAAGATGTGCATGCATATGGGCTAGCTCATGCATATGTCGATGCCTCTGTATGTGTATGCATGTGTATATTACTGCTTATACGCCTGCGTGAGTGTGTACGTGCGTGCTCGCAGCTGGGTGTTCCTGTTGTGCATCCGTGCATGTGTTTGTGGGCTTTCCAAAACTGGACAGAGTCATCAGCAGCGGCAGCAGCAGCAGTCTTAATCCCCTCCACTCCTGAACAAGCCATCTGATTAAAAAAAGACGAGGGGGGTAGGGGTAGAAGAACGCTGGAACCCAGAGCTCTTAGCATCCCTGCAGCCAAGGCAGTAAACAACTAAACCCACACTGGATTTTCCACTTGGTTTGGTCTGAAACAATTGCTTTGGGATAACCTAGATCTCTCCATGCACAAATTAAGTCCTCTGCACTGTGATTTACACTACTACAGTGGATATGGGAACTCAGCAATACAGTATGAAAAGGATTAATATTCAAATACTGTGTGCATCTACCCACAACCAAAGGAAATTATGGTTTTATTTCTATTTAGCTTTGGATATTAGCTCTCACTTCCATTTATATTTTAGTGTTCAAGGGCTCATTACCATCTTTTATCTATTCATAACTTTGGAAAATTATATGAAGATATTAACCTTTTGTTGTTCAGAAAGAATTCGTTTTTACTTTAGTGATATTTCACAAGTTATTCTTTATCAACTCATGTTTTTTAACGGATATATTTATATTTTTGGGCTCATTTTACAAAACAATACTACCACAACCCCTACACACTGTAACCTAAATACTAATGCCGTTTAAAATACATAACGGTAATATTCTCCATTCTCAACAGAGCATTCATGTGTTCATTTGTCTAATTAAGCCACATTTGTGCTGCAAAATGAAAACCCTTATTAAAAGGTAGATCACTGCTGAAAAAAGGGCATTTGTCTTGGTGTGTGTGTGTAGTGTGTGGCCACTAATCACTATGGCTGATTCAATGTCACTGGAAAAGCCTGCATTATTTAGTATCTCACTTCACAGCATGTCACGTTAATTAAAGAGCTAAGATAACGGGGAGAGAAAGGGAGGGGGAGAGACAGATGAGAAAAAGAGAGAGAGGGAGAGATGAGGAAAAAGGTGCGTGGGGGGAGGAGGAATGGAGTGGGGTGGTAAACAGAGCTACGAAACAGAGAAGAAAAGAGAGGCGGGATGGAAAGAAGACAAAAAGCAGGATAACCTGAGCCACACACACTCTCACACACACACACACACACACGCAGCCAGGTAGTCACCAGATTGTAATCTGGGTGGCTGCTGTTGCTAGTATTACCGAGGGCCTAACAGAAAGCCTCCCTTGGTGCCTGAGCTTCTGCCGCTGCCGTGGATCACAGTCGGCTCTAAGCCATTCACTTACATTAGTCCCTATCACTCAATTATACACCGTCTGTCTGGCCGGCCCTGCAGCGACCAGTCACACTTATCTCTGGGATAGATTCTGACAGAACAGAGACTGACTCGAAGAGTGACAGACTAGCTTATGTTTTTTCACAGGACAGACAGAAGGACACATGAGGAGAGGGGAAGAGGATGAGAGAGAAGTGGTGAGAGCAGAGGATGACGGGGACATGAGAGAGACAAAAAAGTTGGAATAGAAAAACATTTTTGTAACAGATAATGTAACAGCTACCCCTCACTTTATACTCTCTATTTATCATCTGTAAGCATTTTACAAACGCATGGTAAAACACATAATACTGTACAGTACAGGCCAAAAGTTTGGACACACCTTCTCATTCAATGCGTTTTCTTTATTTTCATGACTATTTACATTGTAGATTCTCACTGAAGGCATCAAAACTATGAATGAACACATGTGGAGTTATGTACTTAACAAAAAAAGGTGAAATAACTGAAAACATGTTTTATATTCTAGTTTCTTCAAAATAGCCACCCTTTGCTCTGATTACTGCTTTGCACACTCTTGGCATTCTCTCCATGAGCTTCAAGAGGTAGTCACCTGAAATGGTTTTCCAACAGTCTTGAAGGAGTTCCCAGAGGTGTTTAGCACTTGTTGGCCCCTTTGCCTTCACTCTGCGGTCCAGCTCACCCCAAACCATCTCGATTGGGTTCAGGTCCGGTGACTGTGGAGGCCAGGTCATCTGCCGCAGCACTCCATCACTCTCCTTCTTGGTCAAATAGCCCTTACACAGCCTGGAGGTGTGTTTGGGGTCATTGTCCTGTTGAAAAATAAATGATCGTCCAACTAAACGCAAACCGGATGGGATGGCATGTCGCTGCAGGATGCTGTGGTAGCCATGCTGGTTCAGTGTGCCTTCAATTTTGAATAAATCCCCAACAGTGTCACCAGCAAAACACCCCCACACCATCACACCTCCTCCTCCATGCTTCACAGTGGGAACCAGGCATGTGGAATCCATCCGTTCACCTTTTCTGCGTCTCACAAAGACACGGCGGTTGGAACCAAAGATCTCAAATTTGGACTCATCAGACCAAAGCACAGATTTCCACTGGTCTAATGTCCATTCCTTGTGTTTCTTGGCCCAAACAAATCTCTTCTGCTTGTTGCCTCTCCTTAGCAGTGGTTTCCTAGCAGCTATTTGACCATGAAGGCCTGATTTGCGCAGTCTCCTCTTAACAGTTGTTCTAGAGATGGGTCTGCTGCTAGAACTCTGTGTGGCATTCATCTGGTCTCTGATCTGAGCTGCTGTTAACTTGCCATTTCTGAGGCTGGTGACTCGGATGAACTTATCCTGAGAAGAAGAGGTGACTCTTGGTCTTCCTTTCCTGGGTCAGTCCTCATGTGTGCCAGTTTCGTTGTAGCGCTTGATGGTTTTTGCGACTCCACTTGGGGACATATTTAAAGTTTTTGCAATTTTCCGGACTGACTGACCTTCATTTCTTAAAGTAATGATGGCCACTCGTTTTTCTTTAGTTAGCTGATTGGTTCTTGCCGTAATATGAATTTTAACAGTTGTCCAATAGGGCTGTCGGCTGTGTATTAACCTGACTTCTGCACAACACAACTGATGGTCCCAACCCCATTGATAAAGCAAGAAATTCCACTAATTAACCCTGATAAGGCACACCTGTGAAGTGGAAACCATTTCAGGTGACTACCTCTTGAAGCTCATGGAGAGAATGCCAAGAGTGTGCAAAGCAGTAATCAGAGCAAAGGGTGGCTATTTTGAAGAAACTAGAATATAAAACATGTTTTCAGTTATTTCACCTTTTTTTGTTAAGTACATAACTCCACATGTGTTCATTCATAGTTTTGATGCCTTCAGTGAGAATCTACAATGTAAATAGTCATGAAAATAAAGAAAACGCATTGAAAGAGAAGGTGTGTCCAAACTTTTGGCCTGTACTGTAGTCATGAGCACAAGTGACCAGTATGACCAGTATTGTTCAATGTAAATGTTATGAAGTGAAGACATAAATTGTCATTATCTAGTTGAAGTTGGTGACAACTACATAATTAATGTATTTGCTCACAACCAGTGGCGCCCCCAAGGGGGGACCAGGGGGGCCATGGCCTGTCTGATACAATTGCTGGCCCCCCTGCTGACAATAATTGGAGGTTAACATTACTGCCTTTAAGAGGCTGTGGCGTAGTCATTTTAGTGTGAAGGCATTGGTAGTGAATCAACACAACCTAAGGCATCCATTTGTACCAACTGTGTAGGCACAGGTTGTCATGAAGGGAGGTCAATAATGCACCAAAGTTAACTTTTGGCGAGGGAACAACTGGAACAAATAGGTCCCTTTAATTCTTAAAGGGAAATTTCGGTTTATTTCAACCCGTCTCCTATCATCCTAAATT